CAGGGCGTTTGAAGCGATATGCAAAAGTGGTTGGTGGTTTCGGTGTTGTGTGCACTCCGTTTGTGGTAAATACGACACCCAAGGAAGGATGCGACAATTCAACAGGAATTTGAATAAGAATCCTGCCGTCATTTGCACAACAGAAACTACTTAGCACCATCGGTATCCGAAAGGGGTGTACAACCGACGAATAATTATCCTGAGGGTTACTTGTGAATTAACACCAATGTGAATAGTAAATTTGCTCAAATTTCGTTAGATTATACTTCTATTTTTCTTTATAATCTACAGGGTGTTCCAAAAACAGGGACGCCAGGAAATTGAATAAATTTAATAATAAACTTAAATAATAATAATCAGACAATTTACTAAATTCTCCACAATATCTTCCTATAACAGGGGACAATTACAAAGATAATATTTTCAAACTTCGAATTGGTATTTGCAATCTTAATTTCTTAATTACTGCCAACGTATGTAGAGGTTATACAATCTGGTGTGGTGATTTTATTTGAGATTGACAAATGAATAATTACGGGCTAGGGCAGCTGCGATTAAATGAAGAAACGAAATGTGTCAAATTAATTTATCAAATTTTGACAAAACTTGGAAAACATTAATGAAACTTAAATAATAACCAGAGTATTTAGTAAATTCTTCGTAATATCTACCTATAACGGGGGACAATTACAAAGATAATATTTTCAAACTTCGAATTGGTATTTGCAATCTTAATTTCTCAATTACTGCGAACGTATGTACAGGTTATACAATCTGGAGTGGTGATTTTATTTGAGATTGACGAAAGAATAATTACGGCCTGGGGCAGCTGCGATTAAATGAAGAATCGAAATGTGTCAAATTAATTTATCAAATTTTGACAAAACTTGGAAAACATTAATGAAACTTAAATAATAACCAGAGTATTTAGTAAATTCTTCGTAATATCTACCTATAACGGGGGACAATTACAAAGATAATATGTTCAAACTGCGAATTGGTATTTGCAATCTTAATTTCTTAATTACTGCCAACGTATGTAGAGGTTATACAATCTGGTGTGGTGATTTTATTTGAGATTGACAAATGAATAATTACGGCCTAGGGCAGCTGCGATTAAATGAAGAAACGAAATGTGTCAAATTAATTTATCAAATTTTGACAAAACTTGGAAAACATTAATGAAACTTAAGTAATAATCAGAATATTTAGTAAATTCTTCATAATATCTACCTATAACGAGAGACAATTAGAAATAAAATAATTTCAAACTTCGAATTGGTATTTGCAATCTTAATTTCTCAATTACTGCGAACGTATGTACAGGTTATACAATCTGGAGTGGTGATTTTATTTGAGATTGACGAAAGAATAATTACGGCCTGGGGCAGCTGCGATTAAATGAAGAATCGAAATGTGTCAAATTAATTTATCAAATTTTGACAAAACTTGGAAAACATTAATGAAACTTAAATAATAACCAGAGTATTTAGTAAATTCTTCGTAATATCTACCTATAACGGGGGACAATTACAAAGATAATATTTTCAAACTTCGAATTGGTATTTGCAATCTTAATTTCTTAATTACTGCCAACGTATGTAGAGGTTATACAATCTGGTGTGGTGATTTTATTTGAGATTGACAAATGAATAATTACGGCCTAGGGCAGCTGCGATTAAATGAAGAAACGAAATGTGTCAAATTAATTTATCAAATTTTGACAAAACTTGGAAAACATTAATGAAACTTAAGTAATAATCAGAATATTTAGTAAATTCTTCATAATATCTACCTATAACGAGAGACAATTAGAAATAAAATAATTTCAAACTTCGAATTGGTATTTGCAATCTTAATTTCTCAATTACTGCGAACGTATGTACAGGTTATACAATCTGGAGTGGTGATTTTATTTGAGATTGACGAAAGAATAATTACGGCCTGGGGCAGCTGCGATTAAATGAAGAATCGAAATGTGTCAAATTAATTTATCAAATTTTGACAAAACTTGGAAAACATTAATGAAACTTAAATAATAACCAGAGTATTTAGTAAATTCTTCGTAATATCTACCTATAACGGGGGACAATTACAAAGATAATATGTTCAAACTGCGAATTGGTATTTGCAATCTTAATTTCTTAATTACTGCCAACGTATGTAGAGGTTATACAATCTGGTGTGGTGATTTTATTTGAGATTGACAAATGAATAATTACGGGCTAGGGCAGCTGCGATTAAATGAAGAAACGAAATGTGTCAAATTAATTTATCAAATTTTGACAAAACTTGGAAAACATTAATGAAACTTAAGTAATAATCAGAATATTTAGTAAATTCTTCATAATATCTACCTATAACGAGAGACAATTAGAAATATAATATTTTTAAACTTCGAATTGGTATTTGCAATCTTAATTTCTTAATTACTGCGAACGTATGTACAGGTTATACAATCTGGTGTGGTGATTTTCTTTTAGATTGACAAATGAATAATTACGGCCTAGGACAGCTGCGATTAAACGAAGAAACGAAATGGGTAAAATTAATTTATCAAATTTTAGAAAGATAACATTTTGAAATTGCGAATTGATACTTGGAACGTTAATTTCTTAATTACTTCGAACGAATGTACAGGTGATGCAATCTGGAGTGGCGATTTTTTTTTTTTGAGATTGATGATTGAATAATAAAAGCGTCGTTTTCGCGGTAACGAACCAATCAAGCGACAAACGAAGAGTTGACAAACAGACCGTGATAAGGGAAAACCAAAACTATTCAACCCTCCCACATTACAGGATCTCTTTATTCTTGCATGCTCGCCAGGCCGACTGCGACTTGGTCTTGAAGAAGGCGCAAATGCACGTCGGTTGCACTGACGAAAATACCCAATCAATAATAAACTTCTTGAACTCTATACTGTCTTCCGCGTATATGTACATACATTTTTTTCGCATTTTTTCCTCGGTGCAGTGCTTTTTCTTATTTCTGTAACCCAGTTCTGGTGGCGCCTTCTTCTCAGTCGCCGGTCTACCCGGGAACTAAATGCATCTCTGGATGCACTTCTCCGTTCGTTCTTTCGCCTGTCTTCAACCACTACCTTTAACAACAAAGTGTGCCGTGTGCCGACTGCACGCGTCCGCCGCGTAGCCGTCGTCGCCTTCGTCGTTCCGCGCTCCAGCGCTAAATATTATGCGCAATCCTATCTCGCTCTAGTTAACGAACGCGCTAATTAGTGTTCTCTCTTTACGCGAGTTAAATTACCTTAAGTGATGCTAAACGCCGTCGTCAACGGCGGCGGTGACGCCGCCGCCGTCTCCTCTTGCGTCGCGGCGTCGGACGAGCGTCGGCGACCGAGGTGGTGGTGGGGGACATCCCTAGTTGTTGACATTACGTTCCCTTTTGTTTCTATTCCCGTCAATGGGCGATTGTTGCTGCGACTCACGCACTCTCGATTGTTAAACATGCCTTTCCTGTTGTGTTACAATCGCATACACCTTGTTGCATTCGAGTAATTAACGTACCCCAACCGACGCAGAAGACTCAGGACGCGGCGACGACATACCTTCGTCGGACCGCCGGAAATCGCTACGTTTCTGTATCTTATTCGCCTTGCATAGGGTGCATCTTTTTTCTTTTCAAGAACTGCACGAATTGGTGACATCACTTTTTTTGGTGGTAACGTCTAATACGATTTTAAAAAAACACCAAATTAATTTGTGAGAATCGCCCGTGTTCGAACAGTATGCAATAAATACCTGTTTGAACTCGAATTTTGTCTCAAAAATCAGTTAAAACTGAACTGTTTTACAGGAATTGCTGCAATAGTTCTCTTAAATGCATTTTTAACAATCATTCTTTTAATAATCTTAAGCAGGACACTATACTTTAGATTTTAAATTAAATTCAAAAGTTTTCTTTTTGCTTCACTAACAATTGATAAGACAAGAAATTTTTAAATTAAATTCTGATATCATTTTGAAAAGTATCCCTTTTTCTACATTACCTAATTATCTCTAAAAACTTATCATTTTCCTTATGCGTAGTTAAATGTTCTTGTCAGATTGATACAATTATTATTTTGATAACTTTGATACTCATTCTGGTAAAGGATTTCCGTAATTTTTCCATTTCCTTTATAAAAATCTACAACGTTCTGAAACAAGAAAATTTATTTCTCATTTGTTGCAGTAATTGTTGTTGAAACATTAATAAAAAAAAAACAAATTGCCTAATAGCAAGTCATCGTTCCTCTATTCTAGAAAATTTGTATGAAATCAAAGTTCCTTACTAATAGTTGTGATAGAAAAAATTAGACGTAGGAGCACAAAACTAAGAATATTTTTAATCTGCTCAAAAAAGTGAAACAAAACGGACGTTTGAAGTAATTAAAAAGTGACAAAAAGACGTAAAGTGTATTCAGAAAGTTTTGGGACATCTTCAATTCGCCCCCTCTCGTCGGTACGGCTTAATACGTACCTCAATTCTTTCCATTTCGACTTCAACCCATTGCCTACATGGACCTATCAATTCTGTCATTGACCATGGCCGCATTACGCCCGATGTCGGAGAGCGTGGTAGAGAATACGGACTCTAGCAGCGACTCGTCCCTTTCGAATTCCAACAATAGCACGAACAACAACAACGACCAAACTACGGGGGGATTGGGTTTTTTCAAGTCCGACTCGTTCAAGTGCAGTAGTTTCGTGAACAAACTGGACACTTACAATAACAATCAACTACTGCTACCGGCCCAGTTCTATAAAACTTTGCTCGCCAAAGCGGTTCTATCGAATACAGATGACAAAAGCAATGTGTATAAAAATATGTTCTTTTCAAAAGACAGAGACTTTGAACAGGTAATTTGGACAAAAACAAAAATCAGTTTTTATTCTGTTTTCCCCCAACGGTTTCTATTTTTCTTTTGAAGAAATTTATACTAAATAAGTATTAAAAATGAATTACAAAGTCTAAATGACGTTTCTGTTTCTTTTCAGAAAGCTTTTGGATGGGACAGCGGTCAGACGGGCGGCAGTCCCGCTGGTCCCCAAGCGGGGGGCGTGGGGGGCCAGGGGGCACAAGGTTTGGTCCATTGGATGAGTGTTATGGCGGAACATATGGACCCGGCCATGTCGCACTACATGTCATGGAACCAAGAGGTAAGTTTGAATAATATTTATTCCTATTTGTAATGAAAATGTGTGCGTCTGTCTCCTCTCATAATACAATATTATGAAATTACCTGACCATTAAATGTCTAACTAAAGAATAGTCCCCTGCGCTTCTCTTTTTTTGTTATATAAAAGATATTATTTTCTAATTGAAATTTTTAATTGAAAATCACTAAAGTTTGGTGTGTTAAGGGTGCTTTAAATGTTAATATTCGGTCATAGGGTCATAAATAGGATGTGGTGCTGGTTGTAGCTGAGCGACCACCGACGGAATCTATTGTTAAAGTAGGTTACAGTAAGAAGGAACGACTAGATTAATGTAAATGCCTTTGCACCATCGATCATGGTCCCAATCCCTTCAAATTTCGACGGGTTGTACTAATCTTATCAATGTTTTCTTCGCAATCTTGGAAATCATACAAATGGAGACAAAAATAACAATTTTTTACTTTAACCGTCTCTTCTTCGAATCTGTAAATAACAAGGACCTAGTTTATTTTTCTTTTAATATTTAAAAAAGCTACTTCATATGGTTTTACGTTTTTCGATCTACAACTGTCGAAAATAATGAAAATGGAGAACAATTTCGGGTGCATTTTGCAATAAAAATGAAAACAGTGTTTCTACAAATTAAGGAATATCATCGTGCCCACTGTAACAAAGGGGCTAATTTTATTCCCCGTTTGATATTGATGGAACCCAATGGAAAAGAATAAAAACGTTAAGGCCTTGTAACGTAAAAAGCAAGGCCCACGGGACTTTTTAATTTCTCCATTGTTTGTTCTGTACAGCATCAACCGTCCGAAACTCTTTTTTTTTTCATCGTAGTACTAGTAGTTGCATTCATTTGCATGAATCCCAGATTTTATACGCCGTATGCGCTATACTGAATCTAAACAAAAAAAAAATGAAAGAAGAACGAGCACCCTTGGTAATTTTTTTATCTCCAGCGTGTTATTCCTCTCTGGCTGTTTCTCACGGTGTCTTAAATGAATCCGCATCATCTATCTTCCATTTGTCTATTTGCTAATAGGCATTTTTGTCACGTCGAAATTTGCATACGCGCATATCCCGATGACGCCGAAGCCAGCCACCTTGTGCCGTGATTCCACTTCACCCTTCCACGAGTGTCATGGAATTTTCGTGTGCAGACGCATTATGTAACGCTTACAAGCGTATGTATGCAGATGTTATAGCGTGGCCATAGTTTTTACCTTTATCTCACAGACTGGCCCGCTCATTGTGCGTCTGTATTATGATGATGGGGTCGTCTCGTCGATTTTAATTTTATTTATTTATGCGAAACCGTCGTGATAGACGTTGGCGCGGCCTAGGCTCGACGACCCCCTTTTTCGACGAGAAAAAATTGAAGCAATTTTTTACTAGTTTTTTACGAGGTTCTAGTATCTAATGCTCCAACGAGACAACATGGATAAACCCGTAAAAAAATCGTGTAACCGAAAAATTAAAGTCAGTCCCCATTTTTTTTGCTGAAACATTTAAATGAGGGTAGTTAATAAATATATGGTTGGTACCTGATTTGATTGTAAAAGAGGAAAGAAAATACAAAACAAAGTGTTTATTATGTAAAACTTGTCGGGGAAAACAAAAATGGCTTCACTCGTAGTCTTAAATGTATCTCAAAACGTTATTGTCACAAGTACCTCCATTCTTTCCTATCCTGAGCTAATCTTCGCATTTCCCTAAAACATCGCACACCCTTAACTATTTGCAAACAGTAATCCAATATCTACTTCTACCTTATACTCCTGTTAAATCCTGTTTCTGACTAGCCCTTTATGCCTAAGAAGGTGTCCTACCAACCTATCTCGCCTATTTCTTATTGACTTCCATAGAGACCTCTGTTCTCCTATTCTTTGTAATACCTATTCATTTCAAACCTTCTCTATCCACGGTATCCTCATCATTCTCCTGTAACACTACATGCATTTGTCACTTGCTGACCTTAAATTTTCGAGAAATAAATTGAGATAAGAACCCAGAAATCTGAGAGACATCTAGCATTCCATTCCTTTCAATCCAGTATTTATAGTTTTCACAATCTCATTGTAATTATCAGTTTCTGATTTACTAAAATTGTGACGCCGCAGGGCATTTTCCATAATCTCACCATTTGTATACGCGTTTATGTATAGTAAAATATAAATCTGCATATTACAGAATATCTACACGGGATATAGAAAGATTCTGCTTTTAAATTTGATTTCAGGATACCAAAATTTTTCATGTCACAATTCCTATGATTCTATCGATGTTATCAGTTAAATCTTGATGTAAATATCGATAATAATTAATAATTGGTTCGCCTGTATATGAACAATCATGTACCGTCTAATTATAAATGAAAATGAGCACCCTTAATACGAAAAGTATTTCTTTCCATGTTTTTGTCTTTTTTGCGTCGATATCATGGAAACGTGGTCGCTTAGTGAAATTTATGAGAGCGTATGATGCATTTTAATGGGCATTCTTGAACAAATCAACGCTGATTAAACGTCGCGGACTAATCTAGTGGCCTGTGCACTGGACTGAGCTAATTTTCCTGTTATAACTTTTACAAGTTAATTAACATGTCCATCTGGGAATTTTTTCGCGCTGCATAGGAAATTGGCGATTATTTAGACGATTTATGGCTCTTATGCGAGACATTGCGCCATCACATGCATACATAGCCTTTTAGGGTGCACACCAACTCCAGTCTCGGTCCCGTAACTCGTATTCGTACCTAAATTGCATACTCGCATTGTAATTAACTTATTGACCCTATTATCTATTAATTAGAGACTCATCTACATACATATGTATATATGACAATACAACATAAAAATTTTCAATTTTCGTAATATTGAACATCTTGCGTTTTTGTTAAGGTATTTAAAGAAATTATTGCGTAGGATTATAGTTGATGGAGCAGTTCGTGCGTGCCTTTTTATTCGTAAACGCGATAGTTTTATTGGGCGACAATAAAACAAAAAGAATTAGAAGAGCGAATTTTGATTATGTTTCCAAGAAACGGTAATTAATTTAATAAGTTGTGGTATAATTATTATTATGGACGGAATTAATTCGCTCTCAAGTTTTATTACTTTGTTTAGAAAGTGCTCTAGTTAATTAAGGACTGTTGCCTAATCCCAAACGATTACATGCAAACAAAAATTTTAATTAACGATAGAACTGTATTATAATACATAATAAATAATGCGGCAAAATATTCCAAAGAAATCGTCTTCCTCGCAGGAAATTAGAGGATTATAAAACTTAGAGTCATTGGTTTCGGCAGTTTGGGGGAAGCAGTGGAAGGGTTGATAGATAAAGTTGATTCAGGGTCGGCTTCTCTATAAGTGCTGCAAACCTGCAAATATTGAAATATTATTTAGTACGTCAAGAATGAAAGGGTTGTAGGTTTAGTAAACATTTTTAAAATTCCCGCTTCGTTTTATCAGGTACAGCTACTGAAAATAATGCTCCAGATGGACCACGAAAGAGTGTTTACTGTAATCAATTAATATGTGAATGCAAAACTAGAGATTAGATAAAAGAAATTCGACGAAAAGTTTGTTGCAAAGACAAGATTAAACTGTCTCCTTTAGCTGGTACCGACTCCAAAAGTAATTGATTATAAATTGTCAATGTATATACAAGTATCAGTGATTTTGTCGATTGTTCTGTAATTGACTTTGCTTTGCAGCAATTAACATATTATTTTCTACTTTTTAGTTTAAGTTTATACTTGAAGGGGTAGTCTTGAAGTCGGTCTTTGTTTTTTTCTTGTAATAAGCAACTTCGTGGAAGGTAATTCTTGGAAAATATGTGGTACAATATTATTTACTAATCATCATAAGGTCGTCAGTCCTAAGACTGGTTGGACACGCACCTCCACTCTATCCTGCGCTAATCTTCGCCTTTCCCAAAAGGTAGAAAAACTAAAAAAAACTTTTGGGTGTTTCATTCCCACCAGCCAGTAATGCTGGTGGGCGGGCAGTCCCTCCGGACTATGCCGGAAGGTAGGGCGGAAGGCCCTCTTCAGCTTTCTTTCAGGAATCGTGGGAATGGGTGGGTGGTGGTTCGGGTGAGAAAGATGAGACGGCCGAAATGAAGACAGAAGAGAATGAAAGATTATCTGTGGAATATTACTGCCTCAGCATTTGCCTAAGTGATCCAAGGAAACCACAGAAAAACTTGGACCAAGGCAGACGGACCCGGAATCGAACCGGCGTCCTCCCGAATGCTAAGAAATGGTCTAGACCTCTAGGCCATGCCGCTCGGTCCTAAAGCTAGAGCAACCCATATCCTTAACAATTTGCGAACAGTAATCTAATCTAGATCTACCTCTACCCCTCCTAACTACCGTTTCTGCCTCTAATATGTCTCTGACTAGACCTTATTGACTTCCATAGAGTACTCTGTTCTCTTACTCTTTCTAATACCTCTTCATTTCTAACCTTGTCCATCCACGTTATCCTCATCATTCGCCTATAACACCACATTTCAATATCTTCTAACCTTTTCTTTTCCGCCGCGCCCACCGTCCATGTTTCGCACCCGTACAGCGCCGTGCTCCGAACATACACCTTTAACAACCTTTTTCGAATTTCTAATTTAACCGTTCGCGAGCATAGAAATGTCTTCTTTTTATTGAAGGCGACTCGACCATTCAATTTTGAGATAATCCTATTTTAAAGGGTCCTATTTTTTTAATTTGGCCTATAAAACGTTCAAAACATGAAATCCCCGAAATTCCTTCTTCATATTTTTCCAACGAAAACGTGATTTATAAAACGAATGTTTTTTATTTATAAGTATTAGTCGGTTCGGGCATCGCCGCTAGGGGATGAATATAAAATCTGTGTACGCCGCATGGGTAATTACCCATTTCACCCTTCAACCCTTTGAGTCGTCCAAAATAATAGACGGATTACAGAGTACATTCATTAGAGCCTTCGAATATACACGGACGGGGATGCGCG